TACCATCTGGGCCTGCATTCCAGAATGTTCTGCAGCTTCCTGTCACCGTACTATACCAGCCCAACTAGCACAGACACCTGCATTGTCCTTTCTTGCTGTTCAGTGGTAGTCCACACCGTCCATCTACAAAGTAGGTATGAGGAAGCTCTCTTCCTGGCCTGCGTGCCTTCCATCAGAAATGGTATTTAGGCCTCATTATAGCTGTAAAACTCATTGACGTTCTCTTCACTCTTCACTTGCAGTACTAAGCTTTGGGAAAGCCTCTATAACGTGCCTAAAATTTAGTTAAAAAGAACTCCAAGCTCATTCATTTTACTATCATCCTTTCTCTATGGATGAGGGCAGGATAATACAAATGTCACTGTTTACAAATATATTTGTATATGCCTGTAGGGTAATATTTTGATATAATTAAAATGCAGGGTGTATTTGGCTAATTTCTGGACAAAATGGACCATATCATTTGTTTAAAAGAAGTGGTTCCTTGGGACTGACCCACTTGTGGGCCAGGGATTACAAAAAATGTACTGCATAAACTAGATTTCAAATAATAAAAATCATGTAACCCCCATTACAGTCCCCAAACTTGCAGACTGAGACTCTGTGGAAGGCAGAAGACCACCATTTCTAAGTGCCCCAGAATAACAGGGTGTGCTTGAAGGTATCTGCTGATTGCAGCTAAATGACATTTTCAAAAGAAGTAAGTAAGTCAACGAAAGAGGATCTCCTGTCCTCAGAATAACATCATGGAAATAACCATTTGAGTATCTTCATTTGTGATAAGTGAATTTCCTTTAGCTGAGTTTTCCAGCCATCTAAGAAGCTGCCTATTCTTGGCACCATGGTAGAGTATGTCATGCTGTATGGATGTTCTGCCTACCACGCATCGCAAATTCAAACCACCTTCCCAGAAGTGTGATCTTACGGCTTCTGAATAGTTCCTCAGTAAGAAAAAGGACATACACAATGAAGAGATGAAATATCCAAAGCATGTGATTAAAAAAACAACTTAAAAAAATCTTTTCTGAGGATTTCCTCTCTGAATAAAATACCTTCTATCGCAACACAAAGGCTGCAGTTGCCTACTCTAGTTAGCTCTGGAGATAAGTGAAATGAAGCTCTGACATATTTAGCAAGGGGATCTAGGCAGGCCGAAGTTCACATCTCCATACAAAAACCATGCTTGTATGTCCATGCTTCAGTCCAGTTCCTTATAGCATCTGGCTGTCCTGCTGTGCTAGACATAAATTCTCATTTCCAAAGAACAGATGCCATGTGAGTGAGGACACGACACTACTTCTCTAGCTCTCTGCAGGGCTGGAAACCAGATTTCCTTCCTCTGGCTGAGTCACATGTAAGAGGACAGCCTTGTTAATGATGACTTGGACCACACAGAGAACAGGCCCTACAGCTGTGACCACATCCAACAACAAGCCAGCCATTGTGCCATTATGTGCTGAGCAAACACAGCAACACTAGACCTCTGTGCTCCTCCTGGCTAGTGGCTCTGAGGAATGCACAAGTGTGCATTCACTTGTGTGATCAAATATTTGTTCATATCCTTCATTTTGGATATTCCAACATGTTTGGAATAAATTTCCAAGAGTAGGATAATTGGGTCAAGGCATACACAGTTGAAGGCTTCAGAAACTGGCCTCTGGAAGACTACCAATTTTATTCCTGCCAGAAGTGTGTGATTTGTTTCTCATACACTCTTAGAAACATTAATAATAAACTTGTTCATCTTTGTCAATGTGATAGAAGAAACACTGCATTTTATGATTTAGTACACTATGTTTGTGTTAACCTTAGTATCTTGTTAATGCGTCTTCAACAAGCTAAGTCTCACTTATCCTCATCACATGTATATAAGAAAGGAGGCAAAAGTACATTTAATTTGTTCATAGTCACTGTACTAGCTAATGAGCTTTTTGAAGCCCAAGCACATGTCATCAACAATAGTGTACCTTTATAGGAAAGGGAGGAGGGAGGGCGCTGGGGCATAAGGTTAGGGTTTATGGGGCCAGGACACAATTATAAGAGAGATTTGGAGGCGGGACACAATTATAAGAGAGACTTTAACAATGTAGACATTGTAACCTAATCCTTTGTACCCTCAACCTAAAACAATAAACAAAAAAACAATAGTGCACCTTTAAATCTACAGGGTATTCCAAAGGTTGTCATACATAGGAAAATTAATAAACTTATATATTTTATATTTTTACATTTATACATCAACACAAAGAGAATTATTTTATAAGCTTTGATAATGAATATTTTGTAAATAAAGGCACATTTAGCTATAATTTTTCATTTTCCCTGTGTATGCATGGTGACCACTGGGATACTCTGTATTTATGTTATGCTGGGTCTTTACCTCATGTGAAATCAGAGGCTGGGGACTCCAGTCTGGTGGGCTTAGGGACAGTTGCTGTCTAAACAGAAACTACATGCTATGAATGCTCTTTCTAACATTTTCAAAGTTCTTTTCTTCCCACTTTCTTTATCCCTGGACTTTCAAAACATATGTTTTTTCTTGAATATTTTATAACACATGGAAGTACTTTTGAGTAAGAAAAATAAAAGTTGTTTTTTTTTTTTTTTTTTTTGTGAAGGCATCTTACTCTGTTGTCTAGGCTAGCATTCCATGGCATCAGCCTAGCTCATAGCAATCTCTAACTCCTGGGTTCAAACAATCTTCCTGTCTCAGCCTCTTGAGTACCTGGGACTACAGATACCTGTCATAATGCCTGGCTAATTTTTCTATTTTTAATAGAGACAGGGTCTCCTTCTTGCTCTGGCTGGCTTTCAACTCTGGCCTCAAATAATCCTTCTGCCTTGACGTCTCATAGTGCTAAGATTACAGGCATGAACCACCACTTCTGGCCAATAAAAGTTTTGTAAAAATAATATTATCTTGGTTTTGTTAAAGATGAAAAATAAATATGCATGCATATGTATAAAAATAAAAATAACCTGAATAAAGTGCAAAAAACTGTTAATGGTAAATTCTGCTAGATGATTTCAATTATCTTCTTTTTATTTGTTTGTATTTTCTGAATTTTCTACAGTAAATATATTATTTTAAAAATTAGAAAAACTCTCAATGTTATAAATAATAACTGGATATCTGATTTCTCTACATCTATGAAATGCCATTCTTGACATCTTTATAGCTACAGACAAAGGTTTATTATCAAAAAGAACAAAAACAGAGAATTGGGTACTGACTCCAGTCAATTGTTGGTGGCAGCCTGAAGCATTATTTTCAAGAATTCAGAGGCTGAGTCAACACTTCCCAGGGGACAGTGCTGTGATGACTAAGTGACATCTAGGGGCATGAGTAGGGGCTAATGGGGTGAAGTACGAGGTCAAGCTATTTTTCATTTCTGAATCAGACTCAGTGCTGGATGACACTTAGAAGGTCATCTGGTTGGTGTCCCTTATTAACAGAGGAGGCAAATGAGGGCTAGAGACGCAAAGCAACTTGCTGGAAGTTCTAAAGGCAGAGCCAAGACCAGAACTTAATTAAAGTTCTCCACTCTACCTTCAGCTAATTCTTTCATGCTCACTTGAGCCTCAATACCACAGTGACACAGCAAGAATTCATCCATCCTGGCCTGAGAACACAGTTCCCTCTATAACTCTTCACTCCTTTAGAAATCCTGCCAAAGACAGCTGGTCTCCCCTGACTCTAAGGCAGTGGCTGTCTTCTCCATATTAACTTTCTACACGGAGAAAACCCATCAGACTATATCCCAAGGCTTGGATGCAGTGACTGATCTGTCCAGCAGAGAGCAGTTTCAACAAGGCCTGGACCAAACCAGGCATCTGAAGTGGACTTAATACAAACTGCCACAAAGAAAAGCCCCTGATAGAAGTCAAGAGTTTTGCAGACACATTTGTATGGAGGCACTGAAGATTTACAAAGTAAATGAAGTAACAAAATAAAAAGTAAAAAGAAAATATACCAAAATGTTAACCTTAGTCTTTAATAAAGGGTGGTATTTTACGACATTTTCCTTTTTAAATTATTTTGCACCTTCCATATCTTGCACAATAGACAAAAATATTTCATAATAAAAGTTATTAAAATGGTGACAGACGATTTCAATAAAATGTACACAGAGTCCAAGTACTAAAAAGACATTTACGAAAGCATTTGGAAATGTGATAAGCTATATTTTTGTCTTATATGTCACATAATAATGCACATATAAGTGTGTAAGAAAAGAATTTAAAAGTGATGGGATGCTGTAATACTTTAGTAGTGTTAATGTGTTTTAAAATCTTATTAGCCTTATTAAAAAAACCAAAAAAACGACATATTCAGTTAAACGGGATGTGTAACCCTGAATTACTAACACATAGAACATTTCAAGAAGGCATATCTTTGCCTTCACTCTACACTCATTTTTATGTTCATTTGCTTAGGATGAAGAGGGTCAACATGAATAGAGGTTGTGTTGTTTCATCTCCAAATAACCTAAAACATACCACTCAGAGCATTGGTTCCTTAAGCTAAATATTAAAATTCCCTAACTCTGTGGTGCCTGTAGCTCAAGGAGTAGGGCGCCAGCCCCATATACCGGAAGTGGTGGGTTCAAACCCAGCCCTGGCCAAAAACAACAACAACAACAACAACAACAACAAAAAGCCTTAGAATCCTTAGGGTGGTTCCCCATGTACTGGGGGTGGCAGGTCCAAACCCGGCCCTTGCCAAAAAAAAAAAAAAAAACTGAAAAAAAAATTCCCTAACTCTAACTTATTTATAAATACATGCATTGCTACCTATGGAATATGTGTATTAACTAAGTGTCCCTTACTCTAAATTAGCACAAATATCAGAGCATTTTTTTTCACTTTTGGCCAAATTCTTAATTTTCACTCTCTTTTGAGATATTTCCTCAACACTTTTCTAGTATAAACCTAATTGTAAGCCAAGTTCAGCTACAGAAAACAGGGCTCTTCCTGGAGAAGCTGACCCAAGTCCTCACCTGGCATCACAGGAATTATTTGACTCGCTGGTCCCCAAGACATAGAATGATTCCTCTTCTCTGCATTTGCTAATGCAGGTGGCTGGTTTGGAGCAGTGGCTTTCTGGGACTTTTCCAATAAGGACTCCCTTCTTGCCTCTTCACTCAGTCCGGGGGTTCTTGGCTGGGCAGGACTAGTTGCCGTGTGGGTCATCATCTTGTGGTCAAGGCCCACTAAAGCACCGAAGAGCTATAGTTAATTGCTAGATTTCCTTACTGAACTTTAAAACCACTATATTTGCAGTTGATCCAAAGTCATGGATATTTGGGAATAATAACCCATCCATTTAAGACATGTCAAGGCCTCACAAAAAGCTATTCTCTCTGGTTTTCAAGTAGGTAATCTGTTATTCCAACAATTAGCTTCCCAAATGTCAGCTCTAAAGAAATTGCCAAGACAAAAACTTAACCCTGAAGAACTCTTTGTTCTCCCTCGAAGTGGTACTGCCTTAAACTTTCAGCAGCTTTTCTTCCTTCTCGGGCTGCACTTTTGTGTATGTGACATTGTAAGGATCACAGCTCTGATTAAGCCACATCCTAGCATGTCATAAATTTAACTCACTTCGGTTTTAGAAAAAGCATATGCTATACATCATTTTTAGGATAAAAAGACTCTTTGGAAAATTGAAAACAAAATTTACAACATAATCAATCAATTGAAAATTTGACATTTAGAACTCATAGAGACTCAGGTGAATCCTCATTCAAGGCACAACTTTTCCACATAAAAGTCACACCTACAGCCAGAATGGGAAACAACACTGAGTTCACATTTTATTCTGAGAACACAGACCTCCGGTCCCCATCCCTTCTAGCCCCCGCCTGGCAAGGCCAGACAGCAGACTCACAGTTTTGGCAGAAGGCTTCATCAGACCCATCGGGACATTGCCGCACTCCATCGCAAGCCAGTGTGATATCAATGCAGCAGCCGTCATCACAGAAGAAGTGGTAGCGTGAGCAAACGTGCAAACACCCTGTTTTATAAACAAGTCTTTAGTCACCAGAGTACAGGGAAAGTTAAGACTTCATCAAGGTAAACTGAGACTTTCAGGCTGGGCATGGTGGCTCATGCCTATATTGCTAGCACTCTGAGAGGCCGAGGAGGGTGGATTGCCTGAGCTCAGGAGTTTGAGAGCAGCCTGAGCCAGAGCGAGACCTCATCTCTAAAAATAGCTGGGTGTTGTGGGAGGCACCTGTAGTCCCAGATACTTGGAAGGCTGAGGCAGGAGAATAACTTAAACCTAAGAGTTTGAGGCTGCTGTGGGCTGTGATGCCACAGCACTCTACTGAGGGTGATAAAGTGAGACTCTGTCTCAAAAAAAAAGATGAACAGACTTTCAGAGTGCATGTAGTTTTTTATATATTGGTTTCATATTAGTATTAAGTACATTGTTTCTCCATTCTTGTTATACTTTACTAAGTACCTCGACCCAGGTAAACAAAAAAGTTGTAAAGCCTCCATCTTTTCTTATGGCTGAATAGTACTCAATGGTATACATATACACAGTTTATTAATCTATTCATGGGTTGACAGGCACTTGGGCTGCTTCCACATCTGGGCAATTGTGAACCGAGCTGCAATAAATAGTCTAGTGGAATTGTCCTTGTGCTAAAAGGAATTTTTTTTTCTTCTGGGTAATGTGATAGTGAGATACAATGGAGGTCAACTCTTAGTTCTCCAAGAATTCTCTATACTTTGTTCTCTGACCTCATCAATAAAAGTTAGTTTCAATGTGGAAAAAAAAAAAGATAAACAGAGACTGTAGGGATGAGTTAGGGTAAAAAGAAACAGATAACGAAGAAAATCTAACAGTTTGAGCTCAGGCTCTGGAGCCTCCCAGCTTAACTCTCAGGACTCCCCAGAGGCTCTCCGGAGGGCTACTGTCCAAGTCACACTGCCTAAGAGGTGGGAGCAGAGAAGCAAAGGCTCTGAGCTCCCCTCCGCCGCCTTCTCCCTCTGCTGACTCCCTGCACTCGTGAGTTCACCCCATCACTGGGTGCTCTTCCTTTGGTCACTTAGTGGAGTTACCGTCCCATCCCTCCATGGCCTTGGCAGGCCATCTCTCATCAGAGACACCGCTTTACACGTGCTATGTCCTGCATTCTTGTTTCTTAAGTAATCATTTTGGCTATGATTAACTTCCTATACTTGAATCCTATTTTTTGACTACCATAACATCCTTGCCGCTATACAGAACAGACAGTATTTTCAGCCACTGGCTGGCTTGAGTTTATTTTCATGCAATGGTGGCATTTCCTCCCCTCTGGAGCTCCTAGGTGTTTTTAATTTGCAGTCCAATTCATATGAGCTACAGATATTTTTTGAAAGGCACCCCCCCCTTGATTAAAGCAACTTTATTTAATTTAGCTCCACAAGGATTGGGTGGCCGTCTGGAACTGGCAACACAGACTATAGTTATCAGACCAGAAGTAAGTCATAAGGCAGTGGTTCTCAACCTTCCTAATGCCACGACGTATTTTCATTGTTGCAAAGGGGTCGCAACCCACAGGTTGAGAACCACTGTCATAAGGAGTTCCATGATTTTCCAGTGACAGAATGGACTAAATTAAATGTCTTAGGAACATGGGAGAGTGGAAAAATTAGATGATATTCCACCAAGAACAAAAATCTGAGTAGTCCCACACCCATGAGAAATCTGGGCTATGTGTTTTATTAAAAAGCAGTTAAACTGTAGGTTGGAAAGGGAGCCCAGGTCAGTGCAAGGCAATTTGAAGATATCTTGGTCCAGGAGGAAGGATAGGGTAAAGAAAGAAATGGTGGTAGAAACTCTCAAGGAAGGAGAGGAAGCAAAGAGGCTGCAGTTGTGACTGAGAACTTTGGCCGGAAAGGATGGTCAGCTCCAGCCAACGGGAAGCAGCAGAGAGAAAAGGTGAAGGGAACTCTGAATAGCACACAGGATACAGCTCCTTGTCACATTTCTTTTCTTTTTTTTTTTGAGACAAAGTCTCACTATGTCACCCTTGGTAGAGTACTATGGCATCACAGCTCACAGCAACCTCCAACTATTGGGCTTAAGCAATTCTCTTGCCTCAGCCTCCCAAGTAGCTGGGACTACAGGCACCTGCCACAACGCCTGGCTATTTTTTTTGTTGCAGTTGTCATTATTGTTTAGCCGGCCCAGGCCAGGTTCAAACTTGCCAGTCACAGTGCATGTGGCCTGTGCTGTAACCACTGTGCTATGGGCACTGAGCCCCTTGTTGCATTTCTTAAATTCAAGGCATGAAAATCCCAAAACCCTCAAGGTTTTACTTAATCCTGGGTAGTTTTGGAGACAGATCTGTATTTGTAATTTTTCTGCCTATTTCTGGATTAATAGCCTCTAAACTTTTTAAACCATGCATCCTGTTCAACAGTATACTGTTGGGGGCTAGGTGTGGTGACTCACACCTGTAATCCTAGCACTCCAGGAGGCTGAGGCGAGTGGACTGCTTGAGCTCAGGAGTTTGAGAACAGCCAAAGAAATAGTGAGACCTTGTCTCTGAAACTATAGCCAGGCATTGTGGCAGGCACCTGTAGTCTCAGCTAAGATTTTGAAGTTGCTGTGAGCTATGATACCACAGCACTCTACCAAGTACAACAAAGTGAGACTCTGTCTCAAAAAAAAATACTGTTGGACATGCACCTCCAATATATTTATAAATAATATTTATGTACTACTGTACCAACATACTGTATGCCCTATAAAATACACTGAAAGTTTTTTTTTTGGAGACAGAGCCTCAAGCTGTCCCCCTGGGTAGAGTGCCATGGCATCACAGCTCACAGCAACCTCCAACTCCTGGGCTCAAGCGAGTCTCCCACCTCTACCTCCCAAGCAGCTGGGACTACAGGTGCTCACCACAACACCCGGCTATTTTTTGGTTGCAGCCATCATTGTTGTTCGGCAGGCCCAGGCTGGATTCGAACCCGCCAGCTCAGGTGTATGTGGCTGGCGCCTTAGCCACTTGAGCCACAGGCGCCAAGCCTACACTGAAAGTTTTAAGAAGAAAATTTTAAATGAATAAAAATATAAGTTCTGGTGTCTTCTTTTCTACCTTAAAACGTTTTACACGTTCTGAGGGCAGTCCTGTTTGGAAACTCTGAGTTGGATCATACTGGGAGTTCTAGGTTGCAATTTAATAATTATTTTTTCTGAACATGCAAAGAAGTTCAAAATGTCCACATTTTTAAAATTAAACCAAGTTATTACATAGCAGGAATCCTTGCTTGTCTTATCCTAGTAGAAGCCACCCTTGGTTACCATAGCAGCCCTGGCAGTGATCGCAGGACAAAGAGGAGAGAAACAGCTATCTATTTTGCCTCTGTTTTTCAATGTCTCTCTGTGGTGTTTTATTAACTTTAATTTGTGGCATGTTATAACAAAAATAACCAGTAAGTGTTTCCAGATAGCAGTTAGTGTGACATTGATTCTTTTTTATTTTCTATATAAAGTTATATACACAAGACCTTTACCCAAGGGGCCATTCAGTAACCCAAAGTGATTTGTACCACTCTCTGCCATTTTAAATGCATTTTATTATCCTCTTGGAAAAGGGCCAGACACTTACAGCTGGTAATTTACCTTTGGAGGCTGGAAAGCCAACCTGAAAAAATAAGCCATGGCTAGCAAGGGGCTAATGAGGTATCAGCCCCTTCTCCCTCCCAGGCACTAAGGCTGTGCAAAAACAATAATCCTTTTCTTATTTCTGTGGGGAGGAAAGGGTATCTGTGTCTTCTGCCTGGGAATGCCTTCCTCCCAGAGTCACACTTGACTGAATCCCTGCCAAGGCGAGTCTGTACCCACGGGGAGAGCCCTCTGGGCCCACAGTCCTAGCTGCTGAGCCTAGCCCTACTGTGGAAGCTGCTCCTGGTGCTGGTAACTCACATATTCTGAATGTTCCACACAGCTGTAGCGAATCACCCTGGTCAGTGGGTGGCAGCAGTGGGCACTGGAGGGCAGGGGTAGGAGGGCAAGGTTAGGTGGGGAGGAGGGCAGGGTTAGGTGGACAGGGGCAGGCAGGCAAAGGCAGGTGGGAAGGAGCAGGTGGTGGGCAGGGGCAGGCAGACGGGTAACTGGATCGATTTGCAGAGATGGAGGTGGGTGGGTGTGGGTCAGACTGGGCTTGCTCACTGTCACTGGTATGGGAGTGGGAGAGAGCTGGGTTGAAGTGGGGATCATCCTTGTGCAGTCACCCCTCCTTCCTCACAGTAACTCAAACCATGGCTAGACTGGAAGTGGACAGCAACCACATTCCTAATGCTGTTTATAGAAATCATCAAGGTTGCCAAGTCCTGAGGATTCTGCAATCCCTCACTCTCTATATGCCTACTGAGCTCTGTTTCTGATGGAAGTACAAGTAAATCACAGTCATATTCCAATGCTTTTATCCTCACTCTTCAAACTTCTGGCTTAGGTCAGCATCCAGAAACTGAGTATTCAAAAACATCAGAGATGTGTTTCAGGTTTACTAGAGCAATAGCTAGTGATGGCAAAGCTTTGTGAGAATGTGACCTACAGAGGGACAAGGACCGACCCTACTGAGTGCACAGCTCATCCCTAGTGCCCATCACCAGTGCCTTTCCACACACCACAGATGCTGAGCAAATCTCTGCTGACCCAGTAACTGGACCTGCAAATGTACCACACCTCAGCACCTCTCAGGACTGAATAGGGGATGTGTTTCCCTCTGCAACCACAATAGCTTTAGTGCTGCCAAGTTCCATGTGATAGGTATTTTTAAAAATGTGATGGCGTTTTTAGTCTTAGAAATGTAGGTGTCTGAGAAAGCACGAAACATGGATGAATGAGACAAATGATTTTCACACTGTGCAACAGAACATGAAAACCATCATATATGTTTAAAATTATATTATTAACATATCTATGCATCTGGATAAATGCTATAAAAAATGTAGTAGCACTTTTAAACTGATATGTGTACTTTGCACTTTTAATTTGTGTTATTTTCTTTATTTTTAAATTTTGTAGAGATGAGGTCTCCCTACTGTCCAGACTGGTCTTCAACTCCTACCTCAAGTAATCCTCCCACCTTTGGCCTTTGAAAGGGATGGGATTATAGGCAAGAGCCAAAAATCTTCTCTTTCAGCAAATTTAAAATAGACAGTCCATTATCCTTAACTACAGTCACCGTGCTGTGCAACAGAGCACAGCACCTATTCCTCCTGGTTCCCTGAAACTCTGTACCGTTTGACCAACCTCTTCCCTTTTCCCAGCCCCCACTATCTTTAGTAACCACCTTCCTGCTCTCTACTTCTGTGAGTTGAACTTGTTTCAACTGCACTCTCTAGCTGCACTCTGTGGACACATGTAGGAAATGGACTAGCCATCTTTAAACAAAATCTGTCTCCTGAAAACCCAGATAACTGTCTCCTGGAAGGCCAGTCCAGGAAAGATGGACAGTTTATAAAGCCCAGTAGTTCACACAGTCCATTCTCATTCCCTGGGGCTCTCTCCACCCCCACCCAGCTGAGTCGACTTATCCCCAAATACCCTGGAGCCTGGTTTTTGTTATCTTTCTAGTAAAGACTTTCATTCAATAACAACCAAGAGCCACGGAGTACAAAGCTAGCATATAGAATGTCAATCCAACACCACCTTCCCAGAAATGGCTGGGTTTCATCCAGCTGCTGTGAACATGTGGGAAGGTCTTTCTCTTACCTCCCGTGGAGTAGGCCCTGGCAAGCACTGTCACAGACACATTGTCGGAGCTTCTCTGCCCAGCAGTGTCAGTCACAGTCAGCTGGAAGGTGTACGTTCCCTCCTGGAGGTGGGACAGCTTCAGGGTTCCTGATTGAGGCACCTGATACACAGATGGGACACCTCATATTTAGTGAGAAGATCTGAGCTTGGAGTGCAACACAATCTTGAACTGAAGTCTGTGTCCTTGAAACAGTCCCTGGGTCTGCCTATCCACCCTGCCTGAGGCTGCTGGACATCAAAACACACAGTATTCTGGCAGGTAGGCCCCACCTTGAATTCTCCATTTAGGTCAGACTGATTGCATTTATTAGATAAAGTGCTTTGAATCATCCATTTTCATTTCTTTTTTTTTTTGAGACAGAGTCTCACTATGTCACCCTGGCGTCACAGCTCACAGCAACCTCCAACTCTTGGGCTTAAGCTATTCTCTTGTCTCAGCCTCCCAAGTAGCTGGGACTACAGGCGCCCACCAAAACGCCTCCCACTATTTTTTTGTTGCAGTTGTTTAGTTGGCCCAAGCCAGGTTAGAACCCGCCACCCTCGGTGTATGTGGCTGGCACCATAACCACTGTGCTATGGGTGCTGAGCCTGAATTATCCATTTTCAATTTCAATCCTTCCACTGTGCTCAGCAGCTGCTCTCTACCCAAATCCACACTCAGCATCAGTGTTCCCTCCTTCTCAGCAGGTGGCCTCCCCAACTTCAAGGAGAAAATCAGCACCATGATTACAGCTCCACCACCCACCTCCTCCTGGGGACACATCTGTACCATAATACCTCCTTCCAGCAGCTGTAAGGGAGGAGCCCCCCTCTCTCATCCCCCCCAACCCCCTCCTTCTATCTCCAACCCTTTCCATCTAAGCCTTTTACAACACTGACCCATCCATCAGCTCATTTCTCTTTCCAATGGCTCTGCTATAACTAGGCTTGAGTTTCTCTCATCCTAAAAAACAAACTAACAAAACAACAAATTAAAGACTTCCCCAACCTCGAGGCCTCAGCCTTGTTTTCTGTCCATCTCATCCTCCCTCCCTATAAAGGGGCTGGAGGTTACTTCCTGTTTAGTCTCCACTCCACCTGTGGGGTCCCCCCTCTTCACCAGTCTGAAACTATGAAGACAAAACTTACTCATCAATCTGACAAAAGCCACCTCGTTGTCTCCCCTTGATCAGGGCAAGAGCCGCAGCTTCCTGATCAGGCCCAAGAGCCGCAGCTTCCTGATCAGGCCCAAGAGCCGCAGCTTCCTGATCAGGGTTCCTGATCAGGCTGCAGCGTCCAAGGCCCAATTCTGTGACAAGATTTGGGGAGTCATGTCTGGACATAGCCACAGATTGTTTCTTCAGCTCTCTAATGGTCCCATTAACAGTTTGATAGCCTATATTTTTATGTCCCTTTCTGCTTAAATGAACTAGTCTGGATATTGTCCTCTGAAAAAGATGCTGACCATCACACACTGTGCACAAATGCATTAATGGACTTTTGAAATCACAGAGGGTCACACTATTCTAACAATCATCCCCTTGCTTTTATTTATGAAGTCCTAGAATTTAGACTACCCTTGGTTTAGAGCAGTGGTTCTCAACCTGTGGGTTGTGACCCCTTTGGACTGTATTAAAGGTTCGCGACATTAGGAAGGTTGAGAACCACTGGTTTAGAGGATTTGTCAGCCTGATACATACGCAATGATTTATAATCACTTATTGACAATATAATAAGAATAGTGGTTGTCACATTTTATACTGCTTAATAATCACCCAGAGCTCTTGTTAAGGAATGGACTTTAGGGCTTTAGTCTGGAGAGTCAGAGCCAACAGGATTTGGGACTCTACACTTGCCACGCCTACTCAGGTGATCCAGTGATCACACAGGAAAGAGCACTGGGGACTTGGTGAGCAACAGGCATCGGCATCCAACAGACTGGTTTGAATGCCAGCCCTGCTGTGGACAGCTGTGTGACTGTGAACATGTCACTTAACCTCTCCAAGCTTCAGTGTTTTCATATGAAAACCCTAAGTAATAATAGCATCTACCTTGTGAGGATCAAATGAGACAACTCATAATAAAGAGCTGGCCATAGGGCCTGGCCCATAGTAAGTGCTCAAATAGATCCACTGTCTCCTTTGTCTGCCCCGGTTGGCTCTTATCTCAAGTTGAATAACACTGCCCAGTTAGGTTGTATAGACAGCGAAATGAAACCTCAGTAAAACGACTTTCATTCACTGGGATGGTGACAGAATTGAGGCCTCCAGTTACGACACAGTCTACACTGGCCTACAAGCTATCTGTCACTTCCCCTGCAGAAGCCTTAAGCGGGGCCTGGCAATACTGCCACCCATCCTTGTTTGTTTATTTCAAAGAGATGTTAAGCAGTGTTCGCTGCAGGTCGTTTTATCACCTTCAGGCCCAGGGACACTGGGAGAAGGCTAAGCCAAGGTCACTTACTGAGTGCTAAAATACTAAGGGTGACAGGAAGAGAGAGCTGGTAACGATAAGATAACTTCAAAAGGGCCTGGAGTGGCAACTGGTCCTAGATATCAGAGCACACTGAGATGAAAGTGACAGTCTGACAGCCCCGGGAAGCGAAGATCAGAAAGTCGAGTAAGACTGAAAGTGAGACAGAACTGTGGTTTGTGACCTCAGAGTTCTACTCGGCCCCCCTTTTCTTTTATCTCTTACATTCAACCCATCAGGAAATCCCACTGTCTCTACCTTAAAAACTCTAGAATTTGACCACTTCTCAACAGTCCATGCTTACCACCCTGCTCAGAGCCTACCCTGTCTCTTGCCCGTGTCACTGCAATGGTCAGGAGACCTGAGCCCTTGCGGGATCATGGCCTGGTGGCCCCTTTCTTCTGGAAACTTTCCCTGTCCTGTCCATCCATAGTAAGGGTAAGGTCAGGTGTGACCTCTCCCTGTTGCTCCAGGGGCACCGTGCTGAACCAAGGCACAGAGCAACCTCTGATGCTATTTCTGGCTTGGAATCAGGCAAGCCTTGCTGGGTGGCTGCAGTGGTCTATGTTACACCATAGAACTTCCTCTAGGGACTTAGAAAACAGGGGAACATGGTCCCAAATAATGAACATATTGGAATGTGTTGTCAAGCACGGTGCGTTGAGAGAGCAGCTCTGTCCCACTGGTCTGCCTGCAGACAGACAAGGACCCCTGAGACTGCTTGGGCCAGCAGCTCTGAGCAGCAACCACAGGGACATGAGGGGACAGGAGACTACAGAATGTGTTCAGGGTTGGGTTTGCAACGGGTGTATGCCACGGGATGCTGAGTCATGACCAGCTTATGAGTGTGGCCATCAGAGTGAGGCAGAGATGAAGTTAACAAAGATTTTGAAAGAGACCGAGGAAGCCCTGAGGCTAGGGTGCTAGAGGGACCATTGCAGGGAGAATGGCATCACCCAGCCCATGCCAAAGCTCTCTGCAAGGGGAGTGAGTCACTGGGTTTCTAGGAGTCAAAATTCAAAGTGCCACTGTCAAACCCAAACTCTGCCACCCTGGGGGCTGCTGGGGCTGGAAGGATAGGGCACCCGTGGGTAGGGGGGCCAATCCCTCCACCAGGACATTGCATTCTATACCTCCTGCCTGCCAGGGCACTACCTCCCTGACACAGGAAACACTGGATCCAGATGCAGACCATAATAATCACCTTCCACCTCTAGAGCGCATTCAAATTTAGACCTATTCAGATTAAATATCCCTTCCCCGTCTGTCTGTTTGTTTGTTTATTTAGAGACAGAATCTTACTCTGTAACCATGGATAGAGTGCCATAGCATCAAAGCTCACAGCAACCTCCAACTCCTGAGTTCAAATGATCCTCCTACCTCAGCCTCCTAAGTAGCTGGGACTACAGGCACGTGCCACAATGCCAGGCAAGTTTTTCTATTTTTAGTAGAGATGGGGTCTTGCTCTTGCTGAGGTTGGTCTCTAACTCCTGAGCTCAAGCAATCGACCTGCCTCAGCCTCCCAAAGTGCTGGATTACAGGTGTGAGCCACCACACCTGGCCTCTTTTTATTCATTCAGCTAACAAAAACTTTCCCTCCTCAAAATCAGATATTTAGAATATGTAGAAGTGCAAGATGGATGTTTTCCCATCAAGGACCCTGCTGATCCTTCTAGACATATTCTCATCTTAATAAGACATTGGAGAGAGGATTTAAAGTATTTTACAAATATGTTTCAAGTTGCAGGGTAAACCAATATAAATATTTACACATGTACACATAACATATTTAATTTGTAACTTGGAGAGAAACATAATTTGCCTTTAATAAAACAAGGAGCTTCTAATCTCTGCCTGAAATCTTTGTTCAACAGTTACTTGCTTGGCCTTTGATCTGTCAACGTATGATTCAGCCTGCTTTTCTGACTCAACTCTGTCTCTCTAGTGAGGAATTCAGAGGCTAGAAACAGTGGTGCGTGGGTAATTAAGTCATGAGGGAGGTGTGCTCATGAAGGGGGATTAATGCCCTTATATAGGAGGTTCCAGAGAGATGCCTTGTTCCTTTGGCCGTGGGCAGACACAGTGAGAAGATGGCTGTTTATGAACTAGAAAGTAGGTCTTCAGCTGGGCAGAGTAGCTCATGCCTGTAAATCCTAGCAGTTAGGAGACTGAGGAAGGAGGATTGCTCCAGACCCACGAGTTTGAGACCAGCTCGAGCAAGGTCTCAAAGTCATTTTTTTCCATCTCTACAAAAATGGAAAAAAATAGCCATCCATGGTGGGAGGCACCTGTAGTCCCAGCTCCTGGAGATACTGACATGGGCCCAGGAGTTCGAGGTTGCAGTAAGCTCTGATGAGGCTGCGGCACTCTCTCTATCCTGGATGACAGAGTGAGAACTTAATCTCAAAAAATTAAAAAGAAAAAGAAAGTGGGGCCTGACAACAGAGTGAGACTCTGTCTCAAAAATTAAATAAATAAATGTTTGTTATTTATTAAACCACTGGGTTAAGAAAGTTGCCAAGCGCTTAAAGATCGAGTCTTTTGTGAAAGTTTATAACTATAATCACCTCATGCCCACAAGATACTCTGTGGATGTCCCTTTGGACAAAATTACCATTAACAAGCATGTCTTTAGAGACCCTGCTCTTAAATGCAAGGCCTTACAAGAGGCCAAGGTCAAATTTGAAGAGAAGTACAAGACAAGTGAGAATAAGTAGTTCTTCTAGAAGCTACGGTGTAAGGGTTTTTTGTTTTGGTCATTAATAAATAAATAAATGCACAAACACATTTGACTTCATATATATATTAGAAATCAATAAAAAGAAATACATAAGAAAATCTAACACTAGGTCTTAACTCAATTGCTTTGTTATGTGGGGCCCTTCCTTCATTCCTAACATCCTTCAAAGTCAGCCCATGGTAAAGCTTGAAGGAGGAACACAGGCAGCTGGATACCATTCTTAGAAAAAACGTATTTGAGCTGTCATAAATTTTAGAGCATGAAATCAAGGTGCTCAAGATAAAGCAATCAGAGGGGTGGCTCCTGAGGGTGGTTAAGTACAATTAAAAGAAGATTCTCAAAATGGTAAAACCATGACTCTCACACAAATATAACATGAGCAGGTTTCAAAGATTTTATTTAACTCATTAGCTAAAGAGGGAGCCAACAAGGTGTTCACCTGATTCAAAGGAGAACCTGAAGACCAGACATATGTAAGGAGTCATGAACACTGTAAAGAAGTCACAAGTAGTTGCAAAACTGAAACAGGTTTGCTGCTCAGTACTGGAATGGATTTATTAATAGACTGGTCAGTATCTATGCTACTAAAGTGCCATGTTTGAAATCCTCTTTTCCCCAAGGTGAAGATCCATACTATCTATACATGAAAAAATTTATTTGAATTTCCATGGACAAGAATCATTTGATTACTATCACTTTTCTACAACTTATAAATGCTAACCCAGCCCCCAGTATTCCACCAAAAGGTCCTCAGTAATCTTCTGCCCATTTCAAAGTCTTCAACAATTTTTCCTGACAATCTTAACCCATAAAATGAGGATAAGCCTACATGTGAGGCTGTTGTAAGGATTACAAATATGTCCAAGCTGCCTGGCAGTCAGTGGGTGCTCAATCAGCGGTGGCTTTTACTACGATGAAGTCATGGTTAGGATGAGCATTTATTCTTGGGGACATTCTCATCACCATAAGAGAGTCACAGTTTGGTAGCAGATGGCCCCCCTTTGTTACTTAGATGATGGCTTCATAACTTTAGGTCTGTCTCCCATTATATACCTGAGTGGGGAAGTGGTCTAGAATTTTCTCTTGATGTCATAGTAGTCAGTCTCAAAACCCTATGAGAAATACCTAATTTTATCACATGCCTTTTCTGCATCTATTTTCTGATTCATGCGTGTTAAGCCATCCTTGCATCCCTGGAATAAATATTACTTGATTATGGTGAATAATCTTTTTAATGTGCTGCTGGATTCAGTTTGCCTGTCTGTTGTTCAGAGAAATATCTAATTTTTTCAGTCCTTTATAAATGTCTTGAGTAAATTAACTACTGAATCACCAGCATTATTTTTACACGGTGCTCATATATGGAATTCATTGTTTATAAAAATAAAGCTTTTGGTAGCAATTATGTAAAGCAGATGATAACAGGGGCAAATTAGCAGCTGCTTGAACAGACATATCCTAGAGGTTCCAATTAATAGTCAGTGTCCAACCTGAGGAAGCTCTCTAGTGATATGATCAGTGATTTATCCATATATCTCTCCTAATTAACCTTAAATCTCAAATTTTCATTAAGATTATATTACTCATTTTTACAGCTGACACAAGCATAAAGGGATAATAAACATGACAGATGACAATCAAAGCTCAAAATTATTTCTGTTGTAGATAAAAACCAAAAGCTAAGATGGAAGAAGGATAAACAGAAGGTCCTATACTCAGGTTCAAATAATCAATTACACAAACACAGGATGGGGAGGTCATGATCACAGCAGTCTAGAAAGCAGCTAGAAACAGGAAACAGGTTGCAGGTAATCCTGCTAATGGAACACTCAGCATGAACATATTGTGTGATGCAGCTACTAAATTAGACAGTATAAACTTAGTAGAGGCAATTTCTGGATCATAGGAGGTATTGGCTATGTCAGGAAGACATATAGGGTTCAGTTAGGGGGTGTCATATTTTCAGAAAGGAATGAATTAATCCAAGAATATCCAGATGAGGCTGAATGGTGGTCAGTGTGAAAATCAATTCATATGAGGAATATCTGAAGAATAGAGGCTGCTGAGTTCTAAGAAGAGTATTGCAAATAGTTATGTTATTTTTTTTCAAGACTCTAAAGGCTTCGACACATGATAAGACGTGTTCAGTGTTTTGCTAAGAGGAAGACCTGGCACCAACATAGAAGTAATGCAGAAGCACAATTAGTTTGCTTAATAATTAGAGCTGATCCGTGATGTCATAGGACATGACGTGAAACACTGAGTTTCTGTCCCTGGAAATGGCAGGCAGAGAGCAGATGGCCCCTGGAAGTGAAATGGGCTCTTGTCTACATGAGAGGCCAGGAAAGATGATGAATAAGAGACCAGATGGACTCTAAGACTGTATGATCAGTGAGAAAAATCAGTGTTGAGGGACTAGCTGATCACTGTTTTTGTTTTTGTTCCAACAGAGTATAAATCAGGGCTTCCCTACCTCACCCTCTCCACCTCCTCTAACTGAAGTGGGATGGATGAAGTCTGCCTGTCTAAGCAGGACATGTCCCTGTCTACAAAGGGCCCTGACAGGGTTAATAAAGAGCCACTTGTCTGCACCACCGTGGTGCAGGCAGCCACTGGACAAGTGGCTCGTTTCCATCTGTAGCAATCCACATCCAGACAAGCCTGACCAGGAACCATGGGGAACGCCTGGCCAGCACCTCCTCACATACAAACCCCTGCTCCAGAACAGGCCTAACTGCCAGGTAAGATGTTTACTTTCTGGATCATGTAAAGCGTGAATCCACTCTCTTTAGACTCTTTTGTATTTTTCAAGTTTTCTACCAGCATCTTGAGCCAAGGAAAAGAAGAAATAAAACTTTAAAAAAGCAATCATTAAAACAAAGCCTGAGCCTTTCTCCTTGAAGTGTTTTTGTACTGTGAAGAAGTCAACAAACAGCAGCAAGAAGGGGGTAAGCATCAAAATAAATGATCAAGGGAAAGTAAATTTGTAAAATAAAACATTTTGGACAATTGATTCAATTCTTTCTCCGTTTTATGTCTCTTCTGCAAGCTTACAGACAGTTGGGGGAATATTAAGTGGCAGGACATTACGAAAGAGCACTTTGCTGAAATACCTGTTTTTGTTATCAGTGACAACGTACATTACCTTCATGTCCACTGACGGGTCACCCTGCAGCAGCGCCCACTCGTACTGGACAATGGCATGGTCATCTGTGCTCTCACGGCCATCCAAAATCACCCCGTCTGTGGGCAGATGCAAAACCACATCCTCCCCAGCCTTGCTAAGTGGAGGCTCATCCTCTTCTAAGGAAGAAAGTAAATAATTCATAAGAGACATCATTTTCTATTTTTTTTCTAACATATGAAGAGGGGTATCTTGTTTGGTGAATATATACGGTTCAGCAAAGAACTGCTAAAAGAATGCATATTAACTGGAAACTATTTTCTTACTAGTCTTCATTGTGTCTTCTTTCCATAAAAATAAAATAGTGCTATATGGTGAATATGGAATTTAGCTATAATACATGCAAAAGAGGAAGTGTGGAGCGTCAGCTGGTAGCCATAGCTACAACAGAGCTGTGAGTACAAGATGGTGTACCAGGCCCACGGATGTGTAAATCTAGAGAAGTAGTTTTATTTTCTAGAGCGGTGTTTTTCAACCTTTTTTTATCTCACAGCACACTTGACTCTACAGTTAAACTTCCACAGCACACTTAAATTGTGTTGATCCAAAAACAGAGTGAAAAAAAGAATATACTTACTGTGCTTAAACATCTTTCAAAAAAAATTTAATTAATGACCTTTAAAAAATTTCAAGGCATACCTAAGATTCTCTCATGGTGCATGAGAAAAATTGCTATTTTGAAAAAAAATCACTATTTTAGGGGGTATTTTTCACTTAACTTAAAAATCACTTAAATTCAAAGATCTATTAAATTAATTTACCAAAAAAAAAAAAAGATTGTTAACACAAACCTGAAAAAAGCCAAATTCACCTCTAATATGAATTTTCTTCTTTTGTTATCCTTAAGTTTTTAACATAGGAGTGATACAAAGTGTTCAGTGGATAAGAAATATATTAAATTCAAAAGTTGAGGGAAGTTCTTGCAGCCTTAATTTAATTTAATACAAATTAAAGCCTACAGAGAAATTCTCTGGAACCTAATTTTTCATCTAGGAAAATCAAAGAGATTTATAGCTTCTAATAACTAATTTTTATAACAGAAGCCAATACACTGAATTTCTGTTGTGATATCCTACAACAGCAGAACAAGTATATATTTACCTCTGATCTAGAATGGTGCTAGATAAGGTTAATTATGTTTACTTAAATATTACTATTTTACTGTCAGCTGCTTCACGGATGACTAACAGGATAAGGTGCATGTAGAAAGCACTTCTGTGAACTTAGCTGCAAAAATGTTAATGGAGTAAATTTAAATTCTTAGTAAATTTACCAAATACATAATTTAAAGACTCAGCAATATAACTGGAAAAACTCACAGGCTCTTGTAATACGTCCTTTTTGGTATCCACTATTACTCCAGTGCACAAATGCTGCCTGGAATGTCCCTCCTCAAGTTACTCTGAATAATGCTGCTACAGAACTGCCTCTCCTCCCGCACCGTGACCTATCACTTTCCTCGACATAAGCAAACTTCCCAGGGCTGAGATTCCAGACTTAACTGCAATCCTACCTTGGTTTCTCATAATTGGACTTACTGCAATCCTACCTTGGTTTCTCATAATGCAACAAAGATGCACTTCCAGGAGAATGACTCCTCTGGAATGCTTATCTAATCACATCATTCTGCTGTTAATTAGGAGAAACTTTTAAACAAGTTACCCTTGTCTTCTGGATGTTGGGAAACTAACTCCAATCTTATCTTCTCATCCAGGGATGTGCCCAATGCCCCAAATCAGAGGACTTATGTGAGGGTCATGTGGCTCTTCGATCTCGACCTTTTCTGAATGAGAATGCTGCTGCCATCCACAAAGGGAGATGATTTTTTAAAAAACATTTTACAAGGAATAAGCACAATTGCTTATTACATGCTATTCCTGAGGGATACATTATTTATGGAGAAGATAAGCCCCATTTCTCCAGTCATTTAAAATGAGGATTCTAGTTTAAATAAGCCAAATAGACAACCCCCTGCCTAAAAAACTTGTTCTGTCTTTTTTCACCTCTGAACACAGACCTGGAACCTGAAGTCTTTTTTTTTTTTTTTTTTTTTTTTT